CCACCCCTAAGACCTCCCCAACACTCCCCCAGCCCCAAGCCACGGCAGCGTTCTGCCCGCCACCTCCCACGGAGGCCTGCAGACCTCTCCACCTCCCAGCCCACCCCACCCCTTCCCCGAGCAGGAGGCACCAGCCTCAGGGCCGGACGCCCATCCTCTGTGAGGGCCGGGGCAGGGCATGGGCTCAGGGTGACTGAGGACTCACTGTCATTTGTCACACACTTCAGCTGGGCTTCTCACTCAGCTTCCCGATCACCTCGCCGGTACCATCATCATCTGTTTTACAGGAGAGCTGGGCCTGGTCCCGCAGCTGTGAGCAGCCCAGGCCGTCCCCTGAGCTGTTCCCCATCACAGGGGCGCCTTCCCAATAGGCAGGGCAGGACCACAGCCCTGCTGGGTCTGGCAGCCAGGGCGCAAGGGTGGCTGAGTGGATAGGCAGGTGGGTGCCAGGCCGGGTTGGATCAGGAATTCCCCAGGAGCCCTGGGGCTCCTCCACCTGCCTGTACTGGGTTCCTATCTGAGGTTCTGGACGGACAAGTTACAAGTGTCTCCATCTGGCTCCCCCGGTGCTCCCCTGACAGCCCCCTCTGCCCTCCCCTCCCGGCTGCACCCTGGAGACACCACAGGTGTCCTCACCCTGGAGGCTGTGACATTCTCCCTTCCCACAAACAGGCTCTGGGAGCCCTGCAGGCCCTGTGCCCGCCCCGCCCTGCCAAGCACCGGTCTCCTGCCACCTCCCTGCATGTGAATGAGGCCTGTCTGAGCTGCCTTTGTCCTGGGAGGGGCGGGGTTTCCATGATTCATTCCTGGCGGGGAAGTCAGGAGTCAGCCGTGGCCCCTCCCAGGACCCACACCTCACACCACATCACATCACTTCCCACAGGAGAGAATGAGGTGATTCCTCCCGCCAGCCCGACCAGGACCCGATGCGACCGGCAGAGACCGACAGTGAACAGGCACCATCTGTTTGCTCTTGTATCTGTTCTGTGACACTTTTGCTTTTTTTCTTCCTGGAATACACTTCCTACTAGTGCAGTGGTTCTCAACCTTCTGGCCCTTGAAATACAGTTCCTCATGTTGTGACCCAACCATAACATTATTTTCGTTGCTACTTCATAACTGTCATGTTGCTACTGTTAGGAATCTGATATGCAGGATGGTCTTAGGCGACCCCTGTGAAAGGGTCGTTCGACCGCCAACGGGATCGCGACCCACAGGTTGAGAACCGCTGCACGAGAGGCTCTGTGGCTTCTTTATGTGATTTTTAAATTACTGTTCCTGAAGCTCCACAAGATGAGACTCAAAGGCCACAGAGAAGGCAGGCCCTCCTCACTCCGGGCGTGCGCTGCTGTCCCTCACGGGGCTTGTAGAGACCGCCCACACTTTTGTAAACATGGTTTGTTTTTTAACTGTTTTTAATTGATGCTTTCTATGTTACCACTAAAAGGCATATAAACTGATGCTTCTTTTTAAAAAATGTGTACTTTTATTGATTTCACAGAGGAAGGGAGAGGGAGAGAGCCATAGAAACATCAATGCTGAGAGAGAATTATTGATCGGCTGCCTCCTGCAGGTGATCGAGCCCACAACCCAGGCATGTGCCCTTGACCGGAATCAAACCCGGGACCCTTCAGTCCACAGGCCCACGCTCTATCCACTGAGCCAAACCAGCCAGGGCTACAACTTGATGCTTTAAACAGAATCAGCACAGTTTCAGAACAGAGCTGAGACTGTCAGCACCGAACTTGTGTGGTACCCAAGCTCAATTACTCACTCAAACGGGGGTGTGGCAGGAAAGAGGAGGTGTCCTCCAATCCGGACAGGAAGAGCTCCATCTCCTCTGGGTGCAGAACAAGAAATCGGGGGGATGTGACATGCACACGAATTAAATAGGACTTAAGACAGCCAGACGGGAGGCGTTGCTGGGTGCCGGGGTCGGTAAAAG